ATTGAATTGGATTTGATTTGATTTGAATTGAATTGAATTGAATTGAATTTTAATTTAATTTAATTTATTTTATTTTATTTTATTTTATTGAATTGAATTGAATTGAATTGGATTTGATTTGATTTGAATTGAATTGAATTGAATTGAATTTTAATTTAATTTATTTTATTTTATTTTATTTTATTTTATTGAATTTAATTTAATTTTATTTTATTTAAATTCTATTAAGATTAAATTTAGATTCTGCACAAACATTTGCATCTTTATATGCTTTTGATTGTGTCGCTGATGTGAAGCTTTTCCAGAGTGTTCAGGTAATTTAATTTAATTTAATTTAATTTAATTTAATTTAATTTTATCTTTTTTAATTTAATTTAATTTAATTTAATTTAATTTAATTTTATTTAATTTTATTTAATTTTATTTAATTTTATTTAAATTCTATTAAGATTAAATTTAGATTCTGCACAAACATTTGCGTCTTTATATGCTTTTGATTGTGTCGCTGATGTGAAGCTTTTCCAGAGTGTTCAGGTTACTTTGAGACAAATGTGAATGTAAATTAATTTTTAGACAGTATTGTTTATCTGCTCACCACTAGATGGCGCGATTGTACCACAGAAGCATCAGGCATAAATCCTACAGATTGTGCCACAGATTGGTGTTTGAGTTTGTTACAGTTAAAATGCTATTAAATCAGTGCAAATTAAACTTTCCTTTTATTAATAATTTTAAGAAGCTGCACGTTGTTCTTGTCTCAAAGCTGCAACATTTATTACATTTACGTTTAGTCATTTAGCAGATGCTTTTATCCAAAGTGGCTTAGAAATGAGGACAATAAAAGCAGTCAAAACTAACAAAAGAGCAACAATATATAAGTGCAATTATTTTTAATTTTTTAATTATTATTAAATTAAATTAAATGAAAACCTGCAGCTATTTGTTACAAACATAGGCAGTTTGTTTTATTTTATATAAGATTATACTGATACAGATGTTGTAAATAATGCGAGTTAAAGAGGGATTTACACACCTTTTAAAAAATTTTTTATTATAATATATGAAACACAGAATGACATTAATATACTACATGCCAGGGAGCAAGAAAATAATGTACCTTTTAAAAAGATTGACAGTTTTTACAGCTTTCTTATTGGAAGAGTCAGAAATCAAATACATATACAGTTTGAACTCTTCCAGAAAAAGGTTAAAGAAAGGCTTACACTTACAATATTTACATTTGCGTACAAAATATTTGGCGAGAAACAAAATAAGATTGAGTAAATAAAAAAACATCTGATTGTTCTCTTTCAAAATGTGTATAACCCAGAATAACATTTTCATATTTCAATGAAATTTCAGGAATTATACCACAAAAAATATGCAAAATGTTTTTCCACAGATTCTTAGTATACTCACAATACCAAAATAAATGAGACAGATCTTCAGTTTGGAGACCACAGAAGGAGCCATTTACATCCAAATCCTCAGAAATAAACCTTTGTAAAAAACATTTTGTGGGATGTGATTTATACACCTTTTACATTTTTTTTAATTGATTGCCAACATATAATATAAAGGTACTGAACAAATATAAACTACAAAAAAGAAATAGAAAATATACAGCATTATATACATAATAATGCAGGTAAAAATAAATAAATAGATAAAAATGATAATGAAAAAAATAAAAATAAAAACTAAGCAGAAAAAAGAACAGGTATGAGATCTCGATTTACACACCTTTTTTTTAAATTTTTTTTTATTGATTTCCAACATATAATATAAAGGTACTGAACAAATATAAACTACAAAAAAGAAATAGAAAATATACAGCATTATATACATAATAATGCAGGTAAAAATAAATAAATAAATACAAATATTAATGAATTAAATAAAAACGAAACAGAAAAAAGAACAGGTATGAGATCTCGACTTGCACACCTGTGCGCCTACAACACGTTGTTCCACGCATCATCTTTTAGACCCGCCTACATTCTCCGTTTCTCGAAGATGATTGGTTCTTGCACATGTCACTAACGCCATGGGGACAGTTCTCCTGGCGCGTTGCAAACACAGTCGCTACTTCACTCTTATTTTTACCATGAATTTAAACAACTACGATTGTTTCTCGCAACTTCAAATATCATCTCGAAAGTGCAGGAAATAAAGGAGCAAATGCCACAGATCAAGTCATAATTGTGCTGTGCTGGACTAAAATCTCAGCAATGTCTCTACTGTGCGTGCGAGGTAAGTGTTTGGGACCTTTAAATATTTCTGCGGTTTCTTGTTATGGCATCGTCTTCTTTTTATTGCATACCTGTGTATATATCCTTCTGTTTTGAAATGGCGTGTAGTTGCTCAACTTGAAGTGCATCGGCTAGAGCAACAGGTTATGATGTTAAGTTATAATTCAAGAAAAGGTGCAACTTTCGATAAACATGTTAGTGTTATTTTGTGGATTGGATGCGACTCATCTTCGCGTTAATGCGCTTAACGGGGTTTCCCGCTGCTGAGATGGTATTGCATATGCTGTGATCACCTGTCTGGTTGTCTTACTGTACACTATGATTATGCATGACAACAAGCACACATTTGACTTTTTTGTTTATTGCATTTCATCCACCTGATTTTACTGAGTTATGCTCTATAAGAGATATCTGAAGCCTGCCGCAAAACTATGTCGACTGTACTGTGCTATTACTATTTTTAGCATATCTTTCTATGACAGAAATATTAAGACTACTATGCTGGTATGCACAAGACCACTGGCTCCTGTGTGTTAGCCAATCAGAAAACTTGGAGGCAAATCTCTTCCAGTGCTGTGAGATTGGGATTTGGCTACCTGTTAGACCAATGAATTATTAGATTAGGTTATTGATATTACTGTTGCACATAATCACAGGTAGGAATTTGAGCAAACGTCTAATCCTCTCACATTTCTCCTATACATTGTGCTACTGACGTAATTGATACCTTCAACTTTTTAAGCTTATAAAGGAGGAGAATTATTATATATATTTTTTAATCCTTGCATTGGTGAACGAACCTAATGCATATCTAAAGTCGTGAATATCATAGAGACTTGAATGGGCTCTTCTGACTTGAGCCTGTAATAGCAATCCAGTAACCTCCCAGATTACCCTAGAAAATGCATAGCAATGTTTAAAGGGGTCATATGATGCGATTTCAAGTTTTCCTTTCTCTTTGGCGTGTTACAAGCTGTTCGTGAATAGATAAGATCCCTAAAGTTGCAAAGACTAAAGTCTCAAACCCAAAGAGATATTCTTTATCAAAGTTGGGACTCGTCCACGCCCTCCCTAAAACACTTCGTTTAAACACGCCCCCACATGTCTACGTCACTGTGTGGGAAGATTTGCATAACGCCGCTCAAATGTTCACGCAAAGAA